AAAGGGTCAAAAAGCCTAATTTTTTTAGCGTAGTCACAATTTTAGTGGGTACCATATTTAAAAAAGAAAATTAAAATCTTCATACATAGTACGAGAAGTACTTTTTTATGTAATATGAGAAAAGTGTTATCAGTTTATAAATTAAAAAATAAATACAAAATTTCATCATCACCTGTTAAATTTTAACATGAAATGATCGAATTTCCAAATTGTACAAATAGAAAGAATTTACCATTAGGGTGTATTTGGTACAAGAGAAATTTTTTGGTATCCGAGAATCACGATTACTGTGAATACACTAGAAATTGAGTTTACTCGGAATATTACGAAAAAGGTGTTTGGTTCGCCAAAAAGTTACCGAGAATATTGGGTAAAGATTACTAATTTCATGTTTTTTTAGAACGCAATATGACTTGAAATATGAGGTTATTTTACAAAAATAACCCCAAACTATTTTTACTTTTATAATTGATAGATTGGGTCTAGGTTTTAATGTGTTGGGGTATTTTTGTCTAAAAAATTGTTGTTGTGCTTTCCCTTTACTTGGAATTCTGAATTACCATATTATTTTTGGTAATATGAATAATGACTTTTCTTTGTAAATCAAATTACCGGTAAACCTTGGATATCCGGAAACTGATTTTTGTTACTTCTACCAAATATGGTAATTAACGTTTACCAAAGAAAATTTACCAGTAATCTTCTTGATACCCTTGTACCAAACACACCCTTAAAGAAAGTGTGAGACTCGGTAAGAATGACACAGTCATCTGTACCAGTAGGAACAGTGACCATTTTGCCACTGTTCATCATATTATTTACCAGAATGCCACGCGCACAGTAAAAATTCCCAAAATGCCACGCGGGCTAATTCGCTACACAGTATAGCGAATTATGCCTGCTGATGTGTCACCTCCCCAATGGCCACGTAATTCGCTACACAGTGTAGCGAAATACGTGGTCAAATGGTCAGACTCCCCAGTCAACATGATGGACACGTGTCACAGTCCTGTTGGACACATAATTCGCTACCCTGTGTAGCAAATTATGTGTCAGATGGGTCAGTTCATGTCAAGTCAAAGTCAGGCCACGTGTCAACACCCCACGTAATTCGTTGTACCATGTAGCGAATTATGGGACAATTTTTGCTGTGACTCATAGCGAATTAGCAACGTATCTGACACATCAGAGCCAAGTGTCATCCCCCCAATAATTCGCTAGGGGGCATAGCGAATTACGAGCAGTAATTTGCTACCTCACATAGCGAATTAAGTACTATATATGTTTCCATTTTAGGTGTGAACCACCAAGTGCGGAAATTTTCCATTTATGTGAGCTTTACTACTTTTGTGTTGTTGTTGAATCTGAGTTTTTTTTCCACTTTTGTAGGATCAGTGAGGGTAGGAATGATTTAATAACTACTGTTTATTATAATGGGAGAAAATATTTTGGTCCAAACGGGCAAGTTTTTGAATGTGATGCAAAAATATTTCACATGAGCCCAACATGCAATCTTCACGAGCTGAAGAAGATAATATACAAGAAGTTGAGATTACAACGTGGTCAAACTCTTGCTCGGTTGACCGCTATATGTGACTCGGGTAACCCCGTGCAATGGGTTGGCATGGAAATTGTCGAAGATGAAGATGTAACGTTAGAATTAGATGCAAGCACTTCTGAACACGGCGATTCAAGATTTATTGAATTGTATGCAGAAGTCAACTACGGTGGACAATCAAGCAGTCAACTTTCTCCACCATCCACTGACATCATCGACATAAACATGGTGCCAGTGGTTAATCCGGAAGATGAGGACGCGTTCCCCACGCTTGCACCACCAACTCAACAAATTTTTGATGAAATCTTGCCGGCCCACGACATGTACGATCCATCTTGGCATACAGATAGTTCCGAGGAAGAGCTGGATGAAGGTCTTGTTCCGGACAGCGAGTCATCGGATACAGATGTCGATGGTGATTTTGATTGTTGTCCGTCTACTGCAGTTAGTCAACCAATTCCATCGCCAGGCATTGTCGAAATGCAAGACCCTCCAGTTGCAGGTACGCAACCATTAATGACGTATAATAAATTATTAAACTACACTAATATTGGGGTTTTGGATATGTTATTATGCAGGAAATGCTAAAGTACCATTTTGGTTTGGAATTAGCCATTTCACGAATGTTAATATGGAATATCCAGATCAAGAATTGGATGATATGCATGGAGCACAAATACCTAACTGGCAGATGGGCAACGAGCTATATAAGGACCAACTGTTTGACACCAAGCAAGATGTACACATGGAAATTAAACAATATTGTATGGAAAATCATCGCACTACAGTCGTAGAGTAAAGTGATATGAAAAGGTTGGTAATGGTTTGTCAAAATCTTAACACCGGTTGTCTATGGAGGATGAGAGCATACCAAAAAAAAAGGTGATAGTGAATGGGTTATAGGCGTATGGAACAACGAACACACATGTGTTAGTCAGACACTTACCCAAGATCACAAGCAGTTGGACTCAAATCTCATTTGTTCATTGATCTTAGGTGCATACAGTTATTACTATTAAATTTATAAATAATATGTCCCTGCTTGACTAATACATTGTTGTTTGACCACATATAGAAATGATAAGAGAGGAGCCCAGTGTCAAAATTGGGCTTATCCAAGAAAGGATAGCTACTAGCCTTGGATTCCATATATCGTATAGGAATGCATGAAAGGAAAAGCAAAAGGCTATTGTAAAAGTATTTGGTGACTGGGACGAGTCCTATGCGTTCCTACCTAGGTGGTTGGATTACATGTTGCGTTTTTCTCCAGGATCTGCCTATAAGTTGGATTTGCGTGACCATTTCATTTATGGATGCCTAGACCAAGCTCACAAGGTGTTCAGAAGGGTGTTTTGAACATTTAAACAGTGTTGTGAAGCATTCAATTATTGCAAGACAATTATCCTGATTGATGGTACCCATCTATATGGCAAATATCGTGGAACCCTCATGATTGCTACAGTTGTTGATGGCAACAATTACATTCTTCCTATTGCATTCGCTATCGTGTCTATGGAGAATACTGACAACTGGTCGTGGTTCTTAGCACTTATTCGAATACATGTTATGCAAAAACACGGAATCTGTCTAATTTCTGATCGGCATGCGGGAATCTTGTCTGCAGTCAACAATGCTGATCTAGGATGGTCTCCACCACAGGCATACCATGTGTATTGCCTTCGCCACGTGGCCAGTAATTTCAATCACAAATTCAAGAATGTTATGTTGAAGAAGCAGTTGAAGAAGTTAGGTTTGTTTTCGATTTGTCTGATTCGTATAATGCACCTCCGTTTGTAATTTTTGTGTGTGCTATGTGTAGGATATACAACATCGCGCTTGGACTTTGATGCTAGTTTAGAGAAGTTTAAAGAAACAAGCCCTCAAATAGCTGCTCGGATTGATCGCATCCCGAAAGAGAAGTGGAGTATCTCTTACGATGAACAAGGAAGAAGGTTTGGCCACATGACAACAAATCTGTCAGAGTGTGTTAATAAAGTTATAAAGGGGCGCGAAACCTCCCAATTACCTCACCTGTGCGTATAACTTACAGTAGACTGGTGGCATATTTTTTGGAGCACGGACAGGAAGCCCGTGAGGAGATTGGGAGAGGTAATCGCTTCGCTAAAGTCATGTGGCGAGCATATGTGGACAATCAACGTAAAGCTGCTACACATTATGTAACTTCTTATGACGCACAAAGGACAAGACTTGAAGTGCAAGAGTCGTATAATGTACGGACTCATCTCGGCGGTAAAAAATGGTCGGTTTCGTTATCTGATCATACATGTCAGTGTGGTGAGTTCACTGCTTTCAGGTTCCCTTGTAGCCATGTCATTGCGGCATGTACATCCACGCATCACGATCCCACACAGTGCATAAACCCTGCATACAGTTCCAAGAATCAATGTGAAATTTATTCTCTTCAATGATATCCAATTGGTAACGAGGATTTCATACCACCATTTGCACAGGCAACAATTATACCACATGTCTCTATGAGACGTCAACGAAGAAGGCCTAGAAGTACACGTATTCACAATGAAATGGATTCACGAGAAGGCGCCATTACTCGAACAAGGTACAGTTATTGTAGGGAGGTGGGGCATAATAAACGGCATTGTCCTTCGCTACAGCAACCACAACAGTGACCATACATATTATTAGTATTAATTGCAATCGTATGTTATGTATTTCAATATTCGCAAAACTAGTTATATATGTATCAAATGTGTGCTATGTACCATATTTATTATTATAATTTCCATTTTATTGTACAAAATGTGTTCCATATTCGCGGCGACAATCAAAATTAGTCCTGTAGTACTCATCAACGAGAGTCTGCCGACATTTGCATACACCCATAATTATAAATGTCAAATGTATTCAAAAAAAAAAAAAAGTAAATGTCAAATGTGCCCATAATATAAGCAAAGTAAACAACAATAATGATAGCAAAAATCTAAATACATAAGTCGCGCAGATCATATACAATCCAACGCAGGCATAAAATAACCATAAATAAGAGTCCACAGTCCTTTTACAATATCCAACAAAATGTAAATACGCCTTACACAACAAAATAACACATCAGTGCTCTCGAGCATGATACCCCGCACATTTAGACTGATCATGGTTAAATGGTGACAGCACGCAAGTAAACTTGGCCTGTCTATGGGGGTTTCTCCTAATCCCCTGAACATCAGCACCATCAGCACCAGGAACATGTACGGCAACATCAGGACCAGGAACACCATCACCAGCAGCAACAACATGGGGGGTCATAATTCGCCTCCCCCATAGCCTCGGCCAAATCCTGAGCTGAAAACTCCCCTAATGGCTGAGAATGTGGTGACTGCAAAAAGCTCGTGGAGTATGCTGTCGGAGTGGCTATAACCGAGTCAGAATCCTCTGCCTCTGCCTGTGCATGAACATGAGCATGTGGCTAAGCATGTGAATGTGATGGATCCTGTGGTGGAACAGTTGGCCTGTAGTACTCTGTGAATGAGTCTAAGCCCTGAGTAGGCTGTGAACTACTATCGCCTGCATACATGGGATACGACTGAGATGGAAACCCATACTGACCCATAGGTGGAACTGTCGACCAGGGTGGATACTGTTCAGGATGAAACCCAGGCTGTGCACCGGAAAACTGCAGGGGCCACCAATATTGCTGAGATGGACCTGCTGGAAAACAAGGAGAATAATACATCCCGGCGGGACGGGGGGCATGGGAGGGACAACAACAGGCGTATCAGCAACAAGAGGCGTGGAATGGTGAAGCGGAAAACCCTCGATACGCGCACGTCAAGTACGACGCTGGACAGGCGAAGGGTCCTGCGTAGTACGGACCACAGGTGGGGCTGCGGGCTGGCCAAGATCTGTCAATCTGGTAATATCATTTCACGCTGCGAGGCATCTGAGTGCCTCGTGATAGACCTGATCCATAGTGAACGATACTCGGCCCTCTGGAGAAGCCATTTGGACCACCATCTCCGCACGATCGGCCTGTAGGACAGACATGAATTAACTTGTTAGTAAATGTAAAATAACTTGTTAAAAGCATGCATGGAGTATTACAACATACCACATGTGTCGCAACCGTAGTCCTGCAGGTCATCCATCTATGAGTCACTCTATGATACCATCTAATATACTCATTGTTAACAGATAGGTGGCCCTCATCTCCCTGCGCAAGAGGCAAGAGGTCCTGTAGTACCATAGAATCCTTGTCCTCCTACTGAGCGATGTAGAATCCATGTCGATCCCTCCAATCTACGTCTATCTTACCAGTAATGCTAATCGTCAGCAGGTCAAGACAACTAATCGGACCTTGGGGAATAGGCTGCTGACATCCAAACTGCCGTAGAATTCGATCGAGCTGCTGGTAAACAACGATCTAGTAACAAATAAGTGGACACACAGAAAGCCATCTGCGGGCGGTGTCAGAAGGAGGTGCATTAACTTCGAAGCTCAGGTACGGTCTCCAACGAAAATCCCGTCTATGCATAACGTCCATACGATGGCGGCACCTGAGAATGTGTGTAAAAACAGTCTGCCGCACATCATAAAAGTTAAACCTGCAACAATTTGGCCACATGTATAAACATACTATAACATTAAAAAATTAACAGCCTGCAATATGAATAAGTAACATATACAACAGTGCAATAACCTGGCTCCATAAATGGCATGCTCATCAGACACCTCGGGTAGTGGAGGAGAGATAGACGGGAATCTGGTCCACACCCATAATTGCAATAAGAGTGCAAAATCACCCATTTCTGAACGTCCCATGTCAGTCACTTTGCACAATTCCTTATATAAGAAGGCAAGAACTGCAGAGCCCCAACTGAAGGTTCCACACAGCTGGAAATCGTCCAGATATAATACATATCTGGCAGAAACGAAGCTGGAGGCAGTGTCGACAAACAGGGTCCCGCCTAGTATGCGTAAAATTAATGCGCGAGTATATCTCATACGATCAACCTCAGTGGCGGCGTGGCCTGCATAATGCTGAAACCTCTCCCGTAGGAAGTGGAGACCCAACAAACCTCCAGACAGATCCCTACCAGCCTGTGGATTAACTCTTAAAAAGTCACTGACCATCTGCCTAAATGGATGCCGTCCGTGGCGCCCGGACACAACCTCACCATCAGTGGGAAATCCTAGTAGATGATGCGCATCCTCCATGGTAATGGTGACCTCGCCCATAGTCATATGAAATGTCCGTGTCTCTGGGCACCATCGCTAGACTAGCGCAGACACAAGTGCATGGTCTATCTGAAATCATAAAAATATATGGTCAATCAGCAATGAAAATTTTATTAGAACAATGCCATATTCCAAGGTTTTTTCATAGTGATACAATAAAAAATTTACTAACCTCATGGTTGTGCAAGCGCGCAATATGGTAGAACCCAGCCTGCATCAGCCATGGCTGAATCTCCTCGGGAATGTCAAGGTGATTATGCGTCGCAACATGTCGCACATTAATCACACGATCCTGGACATTCGGGTCTTCACAGGTGTTCCACGCATGTGTGGATATATGTTTGTCCTGAAGAGTCAGAAGAGTACGGTCTTCCGGCCCAGGTCAATCACGTTGCGTGGAGACCCAGGACGAGGTGCCTCATCATGCTCCATAGATCTATTAAAAAGAATAATTAAATCATGATAGCGATAATTTAAAAATTTTAAATGCATAAAAAATTAATTAAGTAAATGGAATGCATTACAATTAAAGGATTACAACTATTTTTTTATGACTTACATAAATTAACTAATTATGGAGCTACATAAATTAAATTATTAACTCGAATATTATTCATAAACAAAGAATTAAAAAAATTTAACTAAATAAATTAATAGAAGACCCAATTTAAGTTTATGCTTGAAATAAATTAAAAAATTTGCTAACCTAACGTTTCTAAATCAACACGCACATTAATAAAAAATGTATTAAAGCATAAATAATAAATTAAACCTAAGATTTTATGCGTTAATAAATTCATATAATTACCAACCTAAGGTTTCAAATATCGAATTTAAAAAATATTTATACATTATTAAAGTTTAAATAATTAATTAATAAATTATTTTATTTACACATAACCATTTATACGTAAAAAAAATTAACACATATACTGTCCTAAGGTTTCAAAGATCAAAATTAATTTTTTTTTATAAATTATTAAAGTAAAATTTATTGATATAAAAATTAAATTATTTAGACCTAACCATTCATGCGTAAAATAAATTAACACATTTACTAACCTATGGTTTCAAATACCAACATTAAATAATATTCAAAAAATATAAAAGCATAAATAAAAAATTAAATAAATTAGACCTAACCTTTTATGCGTTAAAATAAATTCATATAATTACCAACCTAAGGTTTCAAATATCAAAATTAAAAAATATTTATAAATTATTAACGTTTAAAAATTAATTAAAAAATTTAATTATGTAGACCTAACCATTCATTCAATTGTAAAATAATTTAACACATTTATTAACCTAACGTTTCAAATACCAACATTAAATAATATTCATAAAATATTCGAGCATAAATAAAAATTAATTAAATTAGACCTAAGCATTTAAGCGTGAAATTAATTAACATATTTTACTAGCCTAAGTTTTCAAATACCTCAATTAAATAACAGTACAAATGTATTAAGGCATAAATAATAAATTAAATAATTTATCCGTAACCATTTATGTATGAAATAAAATTACCACATTTTTTTTTTTATAAATAAAAGGCCTAAGCCCAAACAAACAAAAGAAAAAAACAGACAGAATTTGGCTTTGGGATGTTTGGTTTTGGGATTTTGATGAGTTTGATAGGCAAATGAGAGGTGGCTTTCTAAGATCACCATGTTTGGGAGGTGGGGGTTTCTGAATTTGGCTACATAAATCTGATCGCTAAGAAGCTGTGTTTCGACGTCTATTTTTGTTAATAGCTGGCTAACAAGTTCCCACGTGATATATGGTATTCTCCATTTGCTACCTAAATCAGCCAAAAGTGTAATCACTATATGACTAGCGTACCCCTGAACTGCGCGCGAAACTGTACAATGTGCAGTGAAACTGTACTATTCGATTCATTGAAAATGAACAACCACTGCGTGGATATAAATCAAAGAATTAAAAGGGAAGGAAGCTATCATAAACCCAACACGCTAAACAAGCAAACTAATTTTAAAAAAAATTAAAACCAAAAACAAATGAATGAAATGAATATGAATAGAGAGAAAAAAAATTTACGATATACATCTTACTACCAAAGGAGATACCCCTTTTTCTGCATGGATTTCCTTCAACAATGACCCGAACTTCAAAAGGTTATCTTTGGAGAACCACTGAAGCTTCAATTTAAGAGAGCCTGGAGCTGTGTTTCCACGACTGGCAGCTTCAAGGTTCATTCTGGTAGAGGGATGAAATTTTGCCATTGGGGATTGACAAATATGTTTACGGGTTAAGGGTCCCATGCCTCCTACATAAATTTGTACGAAATAGGGTTATTTTCGTAAATGTTACTTTTTTTCCCATTTATATCTTATCTACACCCAAACATAGACTTTATAAAAGTTACCTAATTTTCTTATCTAATTTTTTTCCAACGAAACAACTTTTTTTACATTTTCCTACCAAACATAATCCTCCAACCATTTGCCTATGCATAACATTTTCCTATTATTCATAAAATTTCTCCTCAACCAAACGCCCTCCTAAGGACTACAAACCACCTCACGTGGTCTACTAACAGAAGTCAAATCGACAAGCAACAAAAGGTAAACACCAGGAGGAGGATCCCACCATAATCTTCTATCAGGCTACTCTTGATCATCAAGTAAAAAATTGGCCAACCAATCAGCAACAGTATTACATTCTCTAAATGTATGACGAAATGAGACTGTCCAATCCTTCTAAATCCAAATCCGTATACGAGATATCAGATGACACTCACGAATTGCTATATCATTCTTGGATAGCAGAGTGATTACATTAGAAGAATCACTTTCAATAATCACATTGCGATAGCCTGAGCTCCAAGCCATCTCCAAGCCCCTAAGCACCCCCCACAATTCCGCTTGGAAAGCATTACAAATCCCCAACCTATATGCATAACCACCCAACCATCTCCCATTGGCATCCCTCATCACACCACCACAAGCAGCAGAACCAGGAGTACCACGAGCAGCACCATCGAAATTGATTTTAATCATACCATTATTAGGAAACTACCATGAAATATTCAAAATCATAGTTCTTCTTTTAGCAAATCAGTTTGATTGAGTATAACAAGCATGCTGAATATCCTCAACAAGATTTCTAATAGTCTTTACCCTATCAATAACCGAAGACATGTGAGAGCCATGAAATACTTCATTTCTCCACACCCAAAACTTCCAACAAGCTACAAAAAAATGGACAACCAATTCTACAAAGAACTAGCTGCAGACTGCAGATTATAATTAAAATGAAGCCAAAAGTCGAGATCCCCCAGAAAAAACTATCACCATGCTCAGATGGCACCAAGCACACCCAAACTGAATAAACATGCGGACAATCCCTTAGGGAATGGAAGACTGTCTCTTTCTCTAAGCCACAAATCGGACACAAATCATCACCATTACCCCAAAGAGCAGTTCGAGGTCACAGACATGACCAATTATGCCTATTATTGCCAACCGAATTAACCTGATCCAGAAGAGAAGAATGAACAACTTTGACAGATACACCAACATGACCATCCAAACTCCACAAACACCTATCAGGACCATCTGCATCACTAGGGGGAAGAGTACCAAGCAAAACATTGAGAATGTTACTAGAGAACCATTGATTTAACCGCAACCAGTCCCACTCCCCATCTGCTGTAACCATATCTGCAACTTTAACATCAGACCGCACAATAGAATCTCTCCTGAGAGAACAATCAATTAAAGATTGAATGGGAAATATCCATTTTTCCTCCCAGAAATTAATACTTCTACCATCACCTAAATCCCAAGCTAAATTACCTTCCATACTCTTCCAAACTCAGCAAATATTCTTCCAGAAAACTGAATCACCATTGGAAGCTTTAAAATATCCAATTCTTCTAGAATTAGCTACATATTTAGCCCGCAACACTTGGTTCCACAGCTGGTCAGGATCTGTCATAAATAGCCAAGCCCTCTTAGCAAGAAAAACATCATTCATCAACTCCATTCGTTTCAAGCCCAAACCACCAAATTTTTTAGACAATGTGATTGTATCCCAACTAATAAAATGGTTTTTCCTAACATTATCCATATCCCCCCAAATAAAATTCCTCTGAATTTGTTCTAACCTCATACAAATTGAAGAAGGAATTTCGGTGCTTTGCATTTGAAAATAAGGGATAGCAGCCAAAAATGAATTTGACAATGTAATTCGGCCAGCTTGAGACAAGCTTTTCTGATTCCAGCCATTAAGCTTACCTCTAACTTTTTCCACAATCCCATCAAAAATATCCTTAGAAGCCCTACTATGTCTCATCATTGACCACATTTACTAACCTAAGGTTTCAAATATTAACATTAAATAATATAACACATTTACTAACCTAAAGTTTCAAGTATCAACATTAAATAATATAACATATTTACTAAACTAATGTTTCAAGTATCAGTATAAAATAATATAACACATTTATAAAAGCATAATTAATAAAATAAATATATTATAAAAGCAACAAAAAAATAACCTTGTAGAGTGAGAAAGCACTTAGAGAGAGAGGGAGTGAGGTAGAGATTGAGAGGAAATGGTGGGGGGAGGGGTGGGGACCGTGGAGTTTAAATAGAAAAACAGATGCACATAATTCGCTACCCTGTGTAGCGAATTTATGCATGGTTGACACATGTCTGACATGCGCAGTGGAGCAGGTGACCGTTGCCACGTATTTCGCTACACAGTGTAGCAAAATATTGGTGGCTTGACACGTGTCCATCATGTTGACTGGGGAGTCTGACCATTTGACCACGTATTTCGCTACACTATGTAGCGAATTACATGGCCATTGGGGAAGTGGCACATCATCAGGCATAATTTGCTACACTGTGTAGCGAATTAGCCCGCGTGGCATTTTGGGAATTTTTACTGTGCGCGTGGCATTCTGGTAAATAATATGATGAACAGTGGCAAAATGGTCACTGTTCCGTACCAGTAGGGAATAAAAA